GACCGACATAGCTCAGAAGGTTAGCAAGCTGAAGTGGCGACGGGCCGGCCATATAGCTCGTAGAACTGATAACCGCTGGGGAAGAAATGTTCTCGAGTGGCAGCCTCGAACTGGCGCTTGAGTCCCGAACGCTGAACGGGCAACATTCGAGGCGATAGCATTTTGCAGAGGCGGCTGGATTGTATTCACACAGTGAATCATCATTTTAGGCCGTCTCCGCCCACGCTTTGAGCGAGTATCCTTGTCTGCGGAACAGCTTCTGTCATCACCACATAAAGTGCAATTTGCTTTAACCAGTTGGCATCTTTCACGGGGCTTTACACTTACGTGGCAAGATTTAAATTACTATGGCTTTTATATTGTATCGGATATATGCTCGTGTAATGGAGGATGGTTGATTGTGATGTGTGGGCATGCCGAGTTGAAAGTTTTAATCGATTATATTGCGGTTTGAATGACAATCTAATATGAAAGTACTCAAAACTAAATAAGCGCCCTCCGATTAATACATTTCTTGCCGACTTGTTCAGATAATGTTTTTTTCATGAATACCGCTCTATTCTTAAGTGTTGATACGTAACGATGCAGTGAGAACGATATTCCGATCCTTGCATTCGATCCTTGGAGCGGTACTGGTATGGTACCAGTCCCAATGAAATCTGGGGCAGGATTAGCATGTAAGGTAAAACTGAAAAAAGAACCCATACGACTCTAGGACCAGGACCACCCTTATATAGGCCGTTCCTTTACTTTACTTTTGTACAATTTTTGTGGACACTTTTTCAGTTAAAAAATTCAGTTAATAACATAACGATATTATATACGTATACGAGGCAGATATAAAGCGGAACAATTTTAAACGCCGCGAAGTATGGATATACTTCATCTATATTGTTAAACTATTGTTGATACTCGCGTAGGTTAAAACAAGACTATTATACCTGTAACATTATATTGTAAACTGACCTTTTGAAAAAGAACAACTGTTGAGTTTCTTGCCGGTTTCTTCTCAACAGAAGCTGCTTTCCGAACCGGTGGTAACTTACGAACATATTAATTTCCTTGTAAAATTTCGACGATCCATAAGAACGCGCAAGCGTCTGTGTGAATAAAGATATTTTATTATTATTAAAAAAAACCATCACTCGTCTACACTGGGCCACCGCCTATGTTCAGTAGTGCACTCTAAATGGTGATAATGATGGTGATGATCAATGAGTATTTTCTATGTAGTATTTTTCCGTGTTACGGCCACAGCTTCGGTTGCACGAATGAGGGCTCGTCCGGGTAAGTACCACGACCTCACAGAAGACCGGCGTAAAGTGGAAGTATATTACTTTCGCGTTTCGTCTGGTGAGTGAGGTGGCCGGAGCCCAATTTCAAAAAAGGTTGTCAACGCATCTGCAACCCTCGGGAGTAGCAGATGTCCATGGGCGACGGTATTCACTTAATGTAAAGTGAATCGCTTGCTCACTTGAAAACTTTTTACATAAAAAAAAGTTTTGTTTGTCTCAGCTATACCTAAGAATAAGTTGCTGTCACGTTAATAGAGAAAACTTTAATAGGGTAAGAGATTAAACTGTCTAAAATATCCACGCCGTTTTATGATATACTGTCTAAAAAAGTGTGCCATCATAAAACATTTTCACCCTTCATCCAGAGCTATTCGTGAAATATACGAAGTATATTTTACATCACTTTGATTATAGAAGTCAGTAATGTTTGGATAATTTTCAATGAGGTCTCAAGTGTCAAATTAATCTCACAGGCTCATCACCAGCTTAAAAGTTTGAGAATGACCACCACCACACATGGGCCGACATTAAAAACTTGTGACGTTGACTTGGAGATAATGCTTAGAGCATTAAGTCCGACTTTATACATGTATATTTGTATAAAGAATAAATAAATATATTCATAAACTATGTTACTTGAAAGGATCCGAATTTAAATTAAATTTGTAACCTAATTCGTCATAAAAATCCAGACAGAAAGGTTCGTTCCCGTGAAAGCGTAAAAGTTTTATCCCAAAAGCCCGCTTATTTCTAGTTCTAGAAACGTTTCTCCTACGTTTATTTACAAATTATGTTGTATTTTAAGCTTGTAGTTTTTTTTAATTGCATTTAATGGGTGAGGGGTCGCGCGCCCGCATGCTACAGAAAACACGTGTGTAAACATTTCCACCGAACTACTGGAATTGCTGTTACTAGTTTTGAATATGCTTTGAGTCGGCACTTTTTGTATTATGTGCCCTTAATATTCGTTCTTTACTGTGCATAGTGTACAACGCGTTGCACATAAATAGCGTTCTTTATAAGCGCCTTAATAAATATTGTATAATTTTTGTCTATGGCAACACTGGCAACCGTATAGAAGAAGAAAAAGACGAGTCGTGTAAATTTATTGTAAAATTATAAATTACAATAAATTCTTATGTTAGTGTTCCACGTTCTATTTGGACCCTAACATATAGAAAATCTATTATTCCTTTGTTGTTTGGAGATTTTGATTCTAACGGTGATTCTAACCTTCGCTCCGACGTTAGAATCATAAATCTCACGTTTATGAGGTTTTTACTAGGAATAAACTCGTTTTAGCGAAGTTCTGCCTTTTTTAGTATTCTATTTTTTTATGTACTTTGAGAAAATGGCAATCTAGATGGCAGGGTTCACCTGATGTTAATTGATCACCGCCGCCCATGTACATTTGCAATTCCCTGTAGGGTTGCAAATGCGTTGCCACCTTCAAATAGAGTGGGCGCCGGATACCTCACTCACTTGAGAGATTCCAAAACGACTAGCGTGAAGTTGAGGTGTTATACTTCTGCGTTTCGTCTTTTGAGTGAGGATACGGGAGCCCACTTTATAAATAGGTTGCTCTTATAACCCGCTATCTTATAACCCTACGAGTGTTTTAGATATTCATGGGTGGCTATCACTTAACATCAAGTGAACCACTCGCTTGCTACATTTTCACTGATCTGACCTGACACCCAAAAAAGCCTAGCTCTTAGGTGCACGTTTTGTGAATAAGCCATATCAGAGATCCCGACTAAAGACTCTATCACAAGGTAGAGCTTTGTGGCAGTTTCCCATGTTGCAAGCATGGGCCTTTCAGAGTGAGTGTGCCCTCACGATAGAACCTTAATGTCTTTTTTCACATGTCCACAGGCGGTGGTAATTACTTGCCATCGGGTGAATCGCTTATTAGTTCCAAGTCACGCATCAAAAACATCACAAGCGAGTCGAAAAGACGTGCAGCCTACACATCCGCCTCGATAACGAGTCGTCGACCTCCAGATTAGGCCTGTTATCTAGGAATAAGTGTGGGGTGGAGAAAAAACCGGCCAAGTGCGAGTCGCACCCACGAACGAAGGATTCCGTACCATTGTTTATAATAACGGCAAAAAATCATGTCTGTTTGAAGGTAGCCCCACTTAAATATGTTTTTACTCTATTCTTTAAAGTTTATTGTTATAGCGGCAACAAAAATACATCATCTGTGAAAATTTCGACCGTTTGACTATCACTGTTCATGATATACAGCCTGGTGACAGACGGACAGGCACACAGATAGCGGTCTTAGTAAAAGGGTCCCGTTTTACCTTTTGCGTACGGAACCCTGAAAGTTATCTATTCCGACGTCGGGCGAACTGCGCGGCGACTTTACAGCCGGGGCGGGGGCGTCGCTACCGGGAATCGTAAAATGCATTTAGAGCGTTTTACGGTGGCACGGTTTGGTGCGGGCGTTGTGCCGGCACTCGATGTTTGGTGCCGCTTCCGGTCCGCCCATCCCTTCGGGTGCGGTCGCTTTTTATTGGGAAGACCAATAAAGACCGACGGAACGACCCTAAAGCTGGGGGAGAGCCCGTGCGCTAATCGCGGGGCTCACAGGCATCGAATGTCGGATGTAGAGCATCCGTCAATTGTGTGTGTGGCTCACAAACACACAAATTAATATTGCAGACGTCGATGCTATAGAAGTGCGCCTGCTGGTGACCCTTACCGTCACATATTTTTTATTTTTTTATGTGAAAAATTGCCAAGCGAGCAGACGGTTCACTCGATGTTAAGTGAATACCGCCGCCCACGAACATCTGCTACACCCGAGGGTTCCAGATGCATTGACAACCTTTTGAAAATTGGGCTTCGGCTACCTCACTCACCAGACGACACGCCAAAGTAATATACTTCCACTTTACGCCGGTCTTCTGTGAGGTCGTGGTACTTACCCGGACGAGCCTGCCCATTCGTGCAACAGCCGTGGCTGCTGCGTGGCCCTACCACCGCACATCCGTGCGTTAATTTTCATCATTATCATCATCATTTCAGCCTCTTGTCTAATGCTGAACATAGGGTTCATAGACCACCAGGCACGATCCTGAGCCACCTGCATCTTTTGACTTCTAGTTGCAGTCATTCTATATCTAGCTAGCCTAGTCGGTAAAAAAATAAATTTTGGTTCTACAAACAAAAAAATATCATATCATTATGTATTAAATGTTTACGGCTTTTTTTATATATTATATATAAAGTTTTAGAGTAGCAGTTGATAGAGTATGAAATAATAAACGAGTAATTTCTTTGACAAAATCACACACAATTCGGTCAAAGCCATTTATTGCGTTAATATATGCTCTACGGATCAAACGTATAGAGCAATAGATCTAGCATGTAGACCTAATAAGACGTATTACAAAGCGGCTTTCGATGTGATAGATCTTATATATTGCACATTGTAAATAAATCTATTTTAAGAATTCCATCGGGTATAATTTGTTTTTAAATTACGGACGTCTTGAACGCTTCGCAGCGGCCATAGTCACGCGAGAGACTGAATTATTTTACATCCTATAGTGTACAGTTCGCCCTGTTCGTAACGTTAATTAAAGTCGCGATGTATTCCCCGAAAGAGTTCCGTTTACAACTTTCTGGGGTAACTATAACAATAACTAATGCTGGAAAATTCGAAAAGCAATTTGAAGGTGATTCGATACGTTACGAAACAACTTCGGCCGCGTCCTGTGACCTCAAAAGAAAGTGTTCAAGGTCATCAGTTACGATGACAAAAAAGGTTACACGCCCGTGGCCTTGGACGGAGTCAACGATCGGCCCGGCGAGTGCTCTGTCCCTCTCGCACCCGGGGCGAGCCGCATATCGCCGTTCCGCGCCGCCTGCGCCGCGCACCGACGCATCCAGGAGTGACATGGACGGTCTTTCTGAAGCTTTCACGTGCGCTTTTGCCCCTTTTTCCACTCCCCTCTTCGCCCCCACCTCCGCCCCTCTCCCCCTTTTAGATTATTTAATCGAGATCCCCTTAGCCCAGTTAAGCGAGTTAATTTTTAACGCTATTCATGATTGGGACGCGCAAGTAGAACTCAATAATATATCGCTTAAAGATGTGTTGCAACTGTGTTCGTATTGAAATTATTAGAAACCTATGTCTAATTATTTATTAATCAGCGTTTTTTTTTATTTATGATCGTACATTTTCAGTTTTGTTGATTTGAGAGATTTGATTAGTTTTTACGAAGTTTACGATTATTGATTACATGATTTTTTTCGTGTCAAGTTATTTCTTCGCTTGAAACTACATTACACAATTTTGTTCGGTGTACGAGTAGCACAAATTAGATAAGACAAATACCTATAACCTACCATAAGAGAAGAATGTTACAAAATACATATGTAATTAATAAATGTTAATTTGTTTTGGTTTCTAAACACACGAAGAAAAAAAACCAGCCAAGTGTGAGTCGTACTCACGCACGAAGGGTTCCGTACCCTTACCAAAATCGATAAAAAATCATGTCTGTTGTGTATGTGTGTAAGCCCCACTTACATATTTTTTATTCTGTTTTTTAGTATTTGTTGTTATAGCGCCAACAGAAATACATCTTTTGTGAAAATTTCGTCTGTCTAACTATCACGGTTCATGAGATACAGCCTGGTTACGTACAGACAGACAGACAGCGGAGGGCCCCGTTTTACCCTTGGGTACGAAACCCTAAAAACGAAGGAATTTTAGAACAACACTGTAGTAACAATATATGAATAGTTACAGTGAACAATTTTAACAGTATGATAAATCAAGAATTTACTTAATTTGTAAGAAATATTTCAATAAAAGGTAAGTAGGCATTCTACAGTTAAACTGTACTGTTTAAAAAGTTGGCAGTAAAAATTTAAAATAAACCTTGATAAAATCCTTTAACTACTTTCATTGTGGTATTTAGTGAAAATAAATAACGACTGAAATAATATGGAAAGTCTTAGCACTAAAATCACAATTATCGAATTAAATCATAAATTGTATACAAAAAGCACAAATTGGACGACATATTTTGTCATATTGGCTTTGGTAGATCGTAGAAAAGGGCGACAGTAAAAGCTGTGCACTGACAAAAATCGAGTACTACATCGAATATAATGACGGCAGTGCAACAGAGTAATGGCACCAGCATGGGCCCTTGCGGGACCCATTATAGGGGCCGCCTGGCGAATGCATAATGATTTATTCTATACACTCGAGCGAGTCTCATTCCTATTCCTGGCTCGCTCGCCTCTTTGTTTCTCCGTCTCCACGCTTTTTTTGACGTTCACCACTCCCCAAACTCTTTGTTCGGGCTGTTTGCCTTTTGACAAGTGCATCGGAGGTCGGGGCAAACATCGCTGGTGCCTCCGGTTTTTTGTCGCGCCGCCAAGTGGCTCGCTTCCTCGCTTCCCCGATTAGAGCCGGCTACCTGTCAGCCGTCGGCCTGGTTCGTTAGGGCCGTGGAATTCCAGGTTCAGACCTCTGAAGTCCGGGGAATGTATTTTTAGGCCTCATTTTCGGGTTTGTTTGTAGCTTTTGTCGTCCACGCCTTGCTTATACTGTTTAATGTCGCCATTCAATACCAAATAACCATAATAGTGGCAAGAAATCTATTTCTTTAACTAAAACCATTTGTGTAGATACGGATTTTAATTATGTACTGCATATAAATTTAAGTTGCGTATTTGTATCGTCAGAAAGAATTCGACAAGCGGTAGATTATAAAATACTCCAACTTGATATTATTGTGAATTTATTAGTTGCTTTATAATCTGTATCTATAAACAACTACTATCGTACAATTTAATGCTTTCTATGTCAATGCAAAGAGTCACAGCATCGAGTACAATAATTAAAGTTTGAAAAAATAGAAAAAGTGCTGCGTACGAAACTATGTATATTCATTAGCAAACCTAGAAATATTTGGTCAAAAGAAACTATTTTAAGGCGTTCTAATACGATTTAAAATTCCCGACGTTAGGAATCTTTTCCAGCGTTCATGGCTATAGACTATATGAAATAAAAAATATTTGTTGTAATAGACCAAATACATTAGAAGACATTACGATCTAAACTATAGCTATGATGACGGGAATACAGAGAAGTGAAGGGAATTATTAGGAAAGTGTCGCTAGTAAACAGTGAAAAATTTCAAATCATTTGTACATTTAGAGAATTCGTATTAAATCAAAAGCTATAATTTATTTAACACCAATAACTTATAGTTGGTTACGTACAAGTGAAGCTAATGCATTATGTTTTAAAATGGAGAAGCGAACCGTATTAACGTTTTTCGTATAAGACTTAAGTTACACTTAATGATCTATGTTTAATTAAAAGAGAATAGCTACAACTACGCTTTGCTAATATGTTTTAGTAAGTATAAAAACACAACAGATGCCACTACCGTAAATATAATTTTATATTACGAGTATAAGTATTAAAAATGTGAATGAAATATATATTTAAATCTGGATTTACCGTATGTGATGTGTTTTTGGAACTGGTAATCATTGTAGTTCTTATAAGGAGCCAACATACTAAGACAGTTTTATATATTAATAGATATACACCACCGATTGTATATTGTGCCATTATGCAGATGTTTCATAATGATAAAACATAATATAACCTAATGATGTCGGAACTTGGAAATGATTACGAAGTCAATTTATACAGGCGCCACTGCGCAAGTTGGCGTAAAATAGCCATTTTTCACTTAGATATGGAGACTTTTATCATCTGGAAAGCAGTTAAAAACTTGCTGAGGTAATAACACTGTCTGATGATCTATCTTGTGTTTATAATAAAATAAATAAATAATAAATTTATTCAGAAGTCGATTTTAGCGGCTTTACTTTCCTCGTGTTCGTAACCTATGTCTATTTTGCGGCATCACATATTTTAACGATTGAAATATAAAAAAATACAGGTATCATAAAGGAAGAAAAACATATTTAAGTATTATTTAATAAAAGTGCAGATCAAGAGCCTTTCGTTTTCAATTAATTCGAGAAAAATTTATATATAAAACTTGTTTAATTAGATGAATGACGAAGGATTCCACCAGTGTAGGTAAGTACAAGTATGTTAAATATAAACGTTGAGGAGTTTGTGAATGTTTATTCCGACTGAAAGAAATAATTATTTAATGACACGTTGAAATGTAAAATTGGTCGTGTTTTTAATTATTTACCAAGTTTTACCAGGAGTTCTTACACTAGAAGACGTAAAAGTTATAAAGGTTATCATTACTTGAGCATAAAAACGAGTAAATTGTTGGTTTAGCATTTAGGATAATACTTTCTGTCCGTCCGTCCCCCGACCATGAATGCTGTAAAGCATTCGAAACGTCGAGAATTCAATTAAAAATAAACACAGTAAATCCGCAAAAACACTGTTTCATTTAGTAAGCATGTAACATTCCATTTCATTTAGGAACAATAATTTATAAAATATATACAAATAAATAAACCTGAAAGCAATACACAGTATTTAAAGAAAGAAAACAAGTATAGCTCATCAGATCATTGTACAAAAAAAGATCACTTTAAATATGCTGTAAATAGTAATTTACAATGAATGATTATTCTCTTGGGTTTAGCAAAAACATCGTTTGCATGCCCGATTTAAAAACACACTTCAATTTGCATTTCAAGTGGGATTAAAATTTTATTTTCTCGACGACGTTACTAAGGGCTGGTTGCGTCCAAGGTCACGGGTGGACGGAGGTTTTTTAGGTCCTTATATTTTAGTCCAGATAATACAAACATGCACTTTAACCCATGTCCACGTTGCGCAGCATTTAAAAATTGTTCCACTTTACACTATATGACATATACAGCGTGTCCTTACAACCGCGCCAATAAATAAACACGTCTAACCATAAAAAAATAACTTAAAAAAAATTCTATAATTAAAAAATATATTTTTCAAACAACCTAATTAAATAAAAAAGAAACAAAATTTGTAACATCCTATACGACTACAACTGACTGATTCATACATTCAGAGATTTTTCATTCATTGTCACAGCGTCGTATTACAAGCCTCTCCTTGTAACAGTATGTTTTGTCTCTTTTAAATTCATTCAACCCATTCATATGCTTTGTGAACTTTACAAATGAACTTTACGTTTCAGTTTTATACGTAAGGATGTTCTAAAATCGTTTGTTTTGTAAAAATTTAATAACTTGGTAAATATTGATGGTTAAAGAATGTAAATGCTTAATACAATTTTAAAAAGTAATCCTCTATATGTGTGTTCATTTATTGTCGCGGTTGTAATGACACGTTGTATAATTGAATATGACAGCCTTTATAGATACGTATGATGCGGAAAGAGAGTCTATGGAATTGCATTCTAATTACACTAATTGGTGTAGTTTGAGCGCATCAGTTTCGGTGCGCTGTTAATTCTGGTTTCCCTTCAAAACGTATAAATCTTTCGTCTAATACTACAAGAAGGTGCTCTGGTGTCATGATTATCTACCTCATATTTGTGTATCATTGCTTTAACCAATATTTAATATATATTGTAATTTAATTGAATATTCATAGTATTTTGCCTAACTGTACATTTAATTTTGTAATACAATTATTTCTTTCAGTCAATCCACGATGCAATTTTCGTGTTGAATTTTTGAATTTGTACATTATATTCATCAGGCACTGTAGTAGCGGCCCAACTCGGGCTGTTCCTGAGGCATATAAAATTTTACACCGTAATATTTTTCATGCCTTTTTTTCTTTTCAAAAGCGATACATTGGTGAATAATCCCCGTGTTGCACAGTATTTCGCATATATTAAATACTCGGTTCTCGCTTCTCTTGCTGCCTTACAGTTCTTTCGGGCGACCATCTGCACCTATCACTCGTGTCAAGTCATTAATCCTTGCAGATACATATATTTTTTATATTACAGATATTGTCTAGTATTTTCTGGTTTATTTTCGTTCCACGAAGCAACCGTTCAAATTTTCGAAAGACTGTTTTTTTATTTTAAAAAATGTATTTAATGTTTAATTTAACCCACACAAGTGAAGTCTTGGGTATTGCTATTTCAATATATATCAATATTAATGTGTAGGGCTCTATTAAAAGACGTTTTCTATTGTGTAAAATAAAATTTGTACTATGATTTTGCATAAAAAAGTCATGCTTTGGCGTTTAGTCTGGTGAGATTTTGAAGGTTGCAGCACATATATTTAATTCCCAAGGGTTGTAGGTGTCTTTAAGCGGCGATAATCATCTAAAATCAGATGAACCGCCAGTTAAGCCAGCCATTAACGTTACGTGAATTGATTATTATTTTACCATTGATTCAAACCTACTTTTTCAAAAATGAAATTTTTGTGAACTGAATAAAATTTTATCATCACGGATCCAAATCTATTGATGCGAAGATAGTCAAATTGGCGACGATAATACAGATACAAAAACTAAACTGTGTACTGCCAATTTAAACTCGATGCATTCTACAGGATCATCATTCAACATTTTTATGATAGCAACATTTCGTTTCGATAACTGGGCGTTTTGTAACAGTTGGGCAGCTGTTTCTGTGCCCGGAGACCTGAATACGTATAAAATACTATCTAAAATCCTGGTTTCGCCTGACTCAAATAACAGTTTAACATTACAGTGAATTTGACACTATCTTTATCAATAGATCTAGACAAAGAACGTACCAACTACGAGCGGAATTACTTATTCCCCATAAAAATACAATTGAATACTACTACGATAGTTTCCCGTTACAAAATACAATTAAACATTAATAGGATAGTCGTTTTTGTTTGTTCTTGATTAACGTAGAACCTAAGTACGTAATTTATAGGGTTCCGTACTCAAAGGGTAAAACGGGACGCTATTACTAAGATTCCGTTGTTTGCCTATCTGTCCGTCTGTCCGTCGGCTGTATCTCATGAACCGTGATAGTCAGACAGTTGAAATTTTTACAGATGATGTATTTCTATTGCCGCTATAACGACAAATGTAATAAAAAAAATTAAGGGGAGCTCCCATACAACAGACATGATATTTTTTTTTGCTGTTTTTATACATTATGGTACGGAACCATTCTTGCGCAAGTTAGACTTGCATTTGGACGGTTTTTTGGTTGATAATGGTTTATGCACTTTTTAGGTTACTCCTGGTGTTTATATCCCTTAAAAAGGGCAATGTAAAATAATTGTGTCAAATTTGAACTGTTATAGTGGAACAATAAGTCAGTCAGGGGGCCACGCATGAAGAGTTTTCGGCCTTTGAACGAAGCCGGTTTATTGTTTTTTAAAGTAATGTTATATAAAATCACCTGTCTCCCTATATACATCGACCGGATATGAGATGGGCAGATTTTTTATCTCCATACAATGTAAAGATAGCGTTATTATGACGATTATCAATATAAACGTATCGATATAACAGTTGCGTGAATAATTTCAAAGCAACTCACGTATGGAGGTTTGTATATTTTTTATGTACGAATAGATGCAAAAAAACCACAATAACAT